TTTTTTTTTTTTAAGACGGAGTTTCACTCTTGTTGCCCAGGCTGGAGTGCAATGGCTCAATCTTGGCTCATTGCAACCTTCACCTCCTGGGTTCAAGCGATTCTCCTTCCTGACCTTCCCGAGTAGCTGGGATTACAAGCATGCACCATTATACCTGGCCAATTTTTGTATTTTTAGTAGAGACGGGGTTTCAGCATGTTGGTCAGGCTAGTCTCGAACTCCTGACCTCAAGTGATCTGCCCACCTCGGCCTCCCAAAGTGCTGGGATTATAGGTGTGAGCCACTGCTCCCAGTCCTGAGTCTTTTTCATTCATTCTTCTGGATACTGTTGGCCTCTGAAACCTGAAGATTTATAAATGGGAGAATTCTTTGCTCCATTTTCTTCCCATAGTCTTTTGTTGAGTCTATTAGTCATAGAACACATAAGTTGACTTATTATTTTGGCATTGCCCTTTGGTGTTGATGGTTTCCTTAAGAGCTTGGTTCTTATTGGGAGTCTAGTCATAGTCACAGTGAGACAAACAGGAAAGGTTGATTAGATGCTCTGTGGTCCTTAGAGGATCTTGGTGATTGAGGAGACTTCCTATGATATTATTGATTTCTTTTCTCTGCTATCATTCATTATCTCCAGAAATTAATTAATCTCCAGAAATTAATCTCCAGAATTATCCTACTCCTTGTTGTAGGGCAATGTGTGAGAGAGTGGCTCTTCTCACAGTAGGACAGGAGGATAGATGTCCAACTTTTTCATATGCAGACAATCACATTGCCCCCTTAATTTTAGTTCTGGGCCTCATCCCTTCTCTACTGAGCCTGACTTTAATTCTGAGTCTCTTACTGCTTTCATCTGATTTTCCTGTAGAAAATTAAATGTCTTCTCCTTCCTGGTAGTATTTTTTCAAGGAGACATTTGTGGTGGTGGTTGTTGTAAACAGACATTTGACTTCCGTTTTCTGACCCATGATTCACATTTACTGTATCTGTCACTTTCAAACTTGAGACTCAGGCATTCTGAATAAGTGGAATCTGTCCTTTTGATTTAGGCTATGGCCTTCTCTCCTTTGTTTTCTAACTTCTACAGCTTGTTGAAGTTGCTCTACCTCTCATTTCCCTTCTCTCATTTTCTCTGTAGTTATAGATCTATGATATTTTTAGTTCTTTAATATTAGCAGAGTTCCTGGAAAGAAGGGGGAAACATATGTGTGCTTAGAATGCAAACTTTATCTGAAGACTTGGCTATTTTATTATTAAGAAGGTTATCAAGAGAAGTCTGATACTGCTTCCTATTTTTGTAGAACCTAATCTATTATTATGGATTGGAATGCTAAGTTATAGTCATTTGAAGTTTCTTGCAAAATCTCACTTCAGAGTATTCTAGAGATCAGGTGTTGCCTCTGATGAGGTTTTTATTCACAAAATCTGGAAACAATCATGCTGATTGATATATGTATGCTATTAATCACTGGTATGGATTGACAATTTCAGTGAAAGGAATTTGAGATAGAGATGAGACAAGGAACACTTTGGGCCATTGTAGGAGCCTATTGCAATGAGAACATTTTCCCCTAAAAATATTCACTACAATCCAGCTATATATTCACATTAATCTATCCATCCATCTTTATATAGGCCGTTAAGTATAAATACCCTTTTAAAGGAGATAAAATTATTTCTAGTTTATGTATGGGGAAACTCAAGTTTGGATAACTTAATCTATTTGCTCTATGAGTCAAAGAAATGACAGAGCCTGAATTCCAGCTCAAGTCTTACAGTCTCAATCTGAAATCACTTTCAATATCCCTATTTCTATGAGTTTCCAACTACAGAAATTTTGATCATGAGATGAATTGTTTCTGGCAGCTGTTTGCTTGATAGAGCCATTTCCATCTTTCCAGCTGTAGAAAAACTCTCATGCTCAAGACCTCCACTTAACATTCAGAGAATACGTCCCCTCTACTTCCTTACCACCCTGCTTATTTCTTTTTAGAGTATACGAAAAAAATATATATTTATTTTTTCTTTTTCTTTTCATTTTTTTTTTTTTTTTGAGACAGAGTCTCACTCTGTTGCCCAGGCTGGAGTGCAGGCACAATCTTGGCTCACTGCAAACTCCGCCTCCTGGGTTTGAGCAATTCTTGTGCCTCAGCCTCCAGAGTAGCTGGAATTACAGATGCACATCATGCCTGCCTAATTTTTTATATATTTAGTAGAGATGGGGTTTCACCATGTTGGCCAGGCTGGTCTTGAACTCCTGGCCTCAACTGATTCATCTGCCGTGGCCTTCCAATGTGCTGGGATTGCAGGGGTGAGTCACCACACCTAGCTGTTCAGTTACCTTTCTAGTGTCTGTTTCCCCCAAACAGAATGCAAATTTCCTGAAAACTAAGATTTTTTTCTGCCTTATATTCTGTAGCATTTCCAGGGACTGTCTTCCTTTTTATCTTCACAGCGTTTTTATCTTCTAACCTACTTGACCATTAAGTTGTTCCTTCTTTTTATTATTAATTATCTATTTTTCTTCACTAGAGACTAAGTTCCATGAGGACGGAACCCTTGTGTTTCTTTACTGAGATATCCTAAGTACCTAGAGCTGAGTTTGGCAGACGACCAAAAACAAAGAACATTTTTTGTGAATAGTGAATAAATTAGTACTTACTACGCCCCAGCCATCGTGCTATGTGTTCACTGTTAATGAACACCTTTAGCCACATTTTAGAATTTTGGGAAAGGAGGCACAAAGATAACAAGGAATCTGGGCAAGTTCCCAACTAAGAAGTGTTAGAGCTAGGATTGGAAGCTAAGCAACCTGGCTCTGGAGCTGAGGTTAAGTCAATAGATTATTTTCCTGCATTTTCACTACATAAGAAAAGGTGAACATATTGGAGATACTTCCAACACACCCTCTCTTCTCTGCCCTTTCCCTAGAAAAGGGCAGGATTTCACATTAAACTTAATGAATATTTAAGTCAGGGTAGGTCTTATCCTAACTATAGAATGAAATCATTACTGTCTCTTGGTGAGTTGATTTTACACCTCAATGAACAGGTAAGAGGGCTTATCTTTGTGAAGTAGAAGTCTTTCTCATCCCCTTAGGAAGCTACCCACTTCTGCATATAAAGTCTAACTCCATGACTTTGTCTCCAAAAATTATAATAACTAGATTGGCTCTTCAATTCCTTCAAAATTAAGTGACTGAAAAAAAAGAATTAAATTTTAATGTGTCTCATGTAAGAACATGATTTAATCAAAAGAAAGAGGATTGTTCTTCTATTCTTACTCTCCTTAAATATAGAATGTTTTTTATTTGTTCTGAATAATATAGCGAAAATCACAGAATTAAAAATTTATTGTATTTGGCCTTATTCTAAACATTTTATTTTTTAAACATCTGACATTAAATTTAAAAATATGACAGTATAATTACTTTGGAGGTGATTATTCAGACAGTCTAGCAAGTTATTTGACAGCGGTTCTCTGAATGTATTATTTTTTATTTCTAGATAATTCTAAGGCACTGATAGCATTTCTGGCATTTCTGATTGTTGTGACATCAATAGCCCTACTTCTGGTTCTCTATAAAATCTATGATCTGCATAAGAAAAGATCCTGGTAAGAGCTGATTATAAATTTTTAAATAATAATAGTAGTAGTAATGGTGCAAACACATATCCATATGGCAGTGATGGAGTCAGTTAAATGAAATACATGAACTAGACAGAAGACAGCAGAAAACCCACTGCATGACAGAACTTTTAATCAAAAACTTTTAGTACGGTTTTATTGGTTTGAATTAAACATTAGTATTATTTTATAAATATACTAATAATGTTGTGAGCTTATTTAATAATAATCAGTGAAAGAATGTGTGGGTTTTTTAGTACAAAGTGGGTCAGAGGGATCTAGGAGTGACACAAGCAAAAGAAAGGAGGGAGAGGCCTGGGGAAGTTGATGGGTTTTTTTTGGCCAGAAACAACCACATCTTATGGAAAACAGGAGGTTTAAAATAAAATCATTTAGTTTCTTATGTGAGTTTAGCAACAATTCTTAGAAGGTTTTGACCTCACTCGCCTTTTCCTTACACCCCCTCCTCCCTCCTCTCTGCCTCTCCTTTCTCCCGCCCTTCTGTTATCCCTCCGCTCCAGGCTCTTCCTGTTTTCCCTCCTTTCCCCCTCTTTTTCTCTCTTCCCCATTTCTTCTCCCTGACTTCCTGCCTTTCTTCCTTCAATATATTCATTAAATATAAGTTAAATACCAACTGAATGCTGAGTTTCTTATGAATACAGAAACTTATGTTTCTTTTTCACAGCAATTTAGATGAACAACAGGAACTTGTTGAAAGGGGTAAGTATGCATATTTTTTACTGACGAATATTCCTTCCCCTGCACTTGAATCCATTGATTTTATTTTTTATATTTATTTATTTATTTTTTAAAAGACAGAGTCTCATTCTGTTACCCAGGCTGGAGTGCAGTGGTGCAATCTCTGCTTATTGCAGCCTCTGCCTCCTGGTTCAAGGGACTCTCTCAGGCATCAGCCTCCCAAGTATCTGGTAGTACAGGCTCACACCACCAGGCCCGGCTAATTTTTGTATTTTTAGTAGTGATGGGATTTCACCATAATATCTAGGCTGGTCTCGAACTCCTGGCCTCAAGTGATCCACCCACCTTGGCCTCCCAAAGTACTGGGATTATAGGCATGAAACACAGTGTACAGCCCCATTCATTTTAAATAAGAATTGGGCATTTTTAATTTAACTTGGACTTTTGTTGATACAGTGATAAAACTTAAATTCCTGGGCCGGGCGCGGTGGCTCACGCCTGTAATCCCAGTACTTTGGGAGGCCGAGGTGGGTGGATCACGAGGTCAAGAGATCGAGACCATCCTGGTCAACAAAGTGAAACCCCGTCTCTACTAAAAATACAAAAAAAAAATTAGCTGGGCATGGTGGCGCGTGCTTGTAATCCCAGCTACTCAGGAGGCTGAGGCAGGAGAATTGCCTGAACCCAGGACGCGGAGGTTGCGGTGAGCCGAGATTGCGCCGTTGCACTCCAGCCTGGGTAACAAGAGTGAAACTCCGTCTCAAAAAAAAAAAAAAAAAACTTAAATTCCTTTACTCAATCAGCACTTGTGGATTTCCCAGTGTATGTCAAGCATCGTGCCAGGTACTGAGAGTACTATAGTGACAGGCACAGATTCTACCCTTAAAGGGTTTAGAGCCTGATAGAGGAAAGCAGATATATCAACAAGTATGACAGTAATTTGACACATGCCCTAGTAGTTGAATGTGTATGATTCTATAGATGTATAGATGACAGAAAACTGTGTGAGAGGGCAGAAATCTGGTCTGTTAAGATTGTGAAGAACCAATGGACCAACAAATGAGGGAACGATGGAAGGAAGAGTGGATGGAAGTTGCAGGAGATGGGGAGATGGGATGTCTCCTCAAGTCCCTGCCAGGGCCGAATGGTGGCTGCTCCCATTAAAGACACATTTATGGACAGGACAAAGAACAGCAGTTTGACTTAGGAGAAGAAAACAAATTCGTTTATCCTTTTTTTCAACATTTACATTATTTATTTAATTTCGTTTTTAAGATGTGATTTCTGATCCAATAAAAGGGGACAAAGTTACAAAAATTCAACCTTTGTTTACAGTAAGTTACTTGCTTTCTCATACTTAAGACCGGAAGAATTTCAGAACTCCTTTGTCTGTGTTAATCTGTACTGGAAGTGTCCCTCTGGTAATAGCAGGTACCAAGTCTCTATGCAGAAACTTTAGGACTGAATGGTTGGAGCTCCTTAATAGGCTTTATATTTCGTTGCAGAATGTAACACTATCTGACCTCGTATTATGTATTTATTCATTTGGTCGTTGACTACCCTCCCCTAACTAGAATGTAAGCTTTGTGAAAGCAGGGAGGCTTTTTTTTTTTTTTTTAACTTATTCATTCCTTTATGCCCCGTACCAAAGTGAGTACTAGGATTTGGTAAATATCAGTGAATAAATAACTTACTGAGATAGGGTCTCCTGAGGATCCATTTTGATAGGCTAATGGAGGAATGAAGAACACAACAGTAATAAACACCTGAGCAGAAAAGGAAAAATCCACGTCAAGGAGTTAACGTGGACTTGGAAAGTGTCAATGAAATATTTTATCCCGAAATTGATACTGATTGCACCTTGGAATGCAGTAGAATTTACTCACTCAGACCCCCTCAAACCCTGAATATGGTGCTTAGTTCAGAATGAATGAATACCAGGTATTCTCATTTTTTTTCCCATTTATTTATTTTATTGCATTTTAGGTTTTGGGGTACATGTGAAGAACATGCAAAATTGTTGCATAGGAACACACGTGGCAGTGTGATCTGCTGCCTTCCTCCCCATCACCTACATCTGGCATTTCTCCCCCTGCTATCCCTCCCCAGCTTCCCACCCCCCACCGTCCCTCCCCTATTTCCCCCCAACTGACCCCAGTGTGTAGTGCTCCCCTCCCTGTGTCCATGTGTTCTCATTGTTCAACACCTGCCTATGAGTGAGAACATGCGGTGTTTGATCTTCTGCTCTTCTGTCAATTTGCTGAGAATGATGGTTTCCAGGTTCATCCATGTCCCTACAAAGGACACAAACTCATTGTTTTTGATGGCTGCATAATATTCCATGGTGTATATGTGCCACATTTTCCCTATCCAGTCTATCATCGATGGGCATTTGGGTTGGTTCCAGGTCTTTGCTATTGTAAACAGTGCTGCAATGAACATTCGTGTGCACGTGTCCTTATAGTAGAACGATTTGTAATCCTTTGGATATATACCCAGTAATGGGATTGCTGGGTCAAATGGAATTTCTATTTCTATGTCCTTGAGGAATCGCCACACTGTCTTCCACAATGGTTGAACTAATTTACACTCCCACCAACAGTGTAAAAGTGTTCCTATTTCTCCACATCCTCTCCAGCATCTGTTGTCTCCAGATTTTTTAATGATCGCAGTTCTAACTGGCGTGAGATGGTATCTCAATATAGTTTTGATTTGCATTTCTCTAATGACTAGTGATGATGAGCATTTTTTCATATGTTTGTTGGCCTCACGTATGTCTTCTTTTGTAAAGTGTCTGTTCATATCCTTTGCCCACTTTTGAATGGGCTTATTAGTTTTTTTCTTGTAAATCTGTTTTAGTTCTTTGTAAATTTTGGATATCAGCCCTTTGTCAGATGGGTAAGCTGCAAAAATTTTTTCCCAATCTGTTGGTTGCCGATTCACTCTAATGATTGTTTCTTTTGCTGTGCAGAAGCTGTGGAGTTTGATTAGGTCCCATTTGTCTATTTTGGCTTTTGGTGTCAATGCTTTTGGTGTTTTGGTCATGCAGTCCTTGCCTACACCTACTTCCTGAATGGTTTTGCCTAGATTTTCTTCTAGGGTTTTTATGGTGTTAGGTCTTTTATGGTGTTAGGTCTTATGTTTAAGTCTTTAATCCATCTGGAGTTAATTTTAGTGTAAGGTGTCAGGAAGGGGTCCAGTTTCTGCTTTCTGCACATGGCTAGCCAGCTTTCCCAACACCATTTATTGAACAGGGAATCCTTTCCCCATTGCTTGTTTTTGTCTGGTTTGTCAAAGATCAGGTAGTTGTACATATGTTGTGTTGCCTCCGAGACCTCTGTTCTGTTCCATTGGTCTATATCTCTGTTTTGGTACCAGTACCATGCTGTTTTGATTACTGTAGCCTTGTAGTATAGTTTGAAGTCTGGTAGTGTGATGCCTCCCGCTTTGTTCTTTTTGCTTAGAATTGACTTGGCTATGCGGGCTCTCTTTTGGTTCCATATGAAGTTTAAGGTGGTTTTTTCCAATTCTGCGAAGAAGGTCATTGGTAGCTTGATGGCGATAGCACTGAATCTGTAAATTACTTTGGGCAGTATGGCCATTTTCACGATATTGATTCTTCCTAACCACGAACACGGAATGTTTCTCCATCTGTTTGTGTCCTCTCTTATTTCGTTGAGCAGTGGCCTGTAGTTCTCCTTGAAGAGGTCCTTTACATTCCTTGTTAGTTGTATTCCTAGGTATTTTATTCTCTTTGTGGCAATTGTGAATGGAAGTTTGTTCTTGATTTGGCTCTCTTTAAGTCTGTTATTGGTGTATAGGAATGCATGTGATTTTTGCACATTGATTTTGTATCCTGAGACTTTGCTGAACTTGCTTATCAGTTTCAGGAGGTTTGGGGCTGAGACGATGGGGTCTTCTAGATACACAATCATGTCGTCTGCAAATAGAGACAATTTGACTTCCTCCTTTCCTATTTGAATGCCCTTTATTTCTTTTTCTTGCCTGATTGCTCTGGCTAGAACTTCTAATACTGTATTGAATAGCAGTGGTGAGAGCGGGCATCCTTGTCTGGTGCCACATTTCAAGGGGAATGCTTCCAGTTTTTGCCCATTCAGTATGATATTGGCTGTTGGTTTGTCATAAATAGCTTTTATTATTTTGAGATACGTTCCATCGATACCTAGCTTATTGAGGGTTTTTAGCATAAAGGGCTGCTGAATTTTGTCAAAGGCCTTCTCTGCATCAATTGAGATAATCATGTGATTTTTGTCTTTGGTTCTGTTTATGTGGTGAATTACGTTTATAGACTTGTGTATGTTGAACCAGCCTTGCATCCCCGGGATGAAGCCTACTTGATCATGGTGGATAAGCTTTTTGATGTGCTGTTGCAATCGGCTTGTCAGTATTTTATTGAAGATTTTTGCATCTATGTTCATCATGGATATTGGCCTGAAGTTTTCTTTTCTTGTTGAGTCTCTGCCGGGTTTTGGAATCAGGATGATGTTGGTGTCATAAATGATTTGGGAAGAATTCCCTCTTTTTGTATTGTTTGGAATAGTTTCAGAAGAAATGGTACCAGCTCCTCTTTGTATGTCTGGTAGAATTCAGCTGTGAACCCATCTGGACCAATACCAGGCATTCTCAACAACCTAAAGAAGCAATTGCTCATAGCCAGTGTGGTAGCTGTGACTGGATAGAAAGTTTCCATGGGCAATAAGATAAATGGGTCACCCTCCTGGATACCTTCTTTCTTAATCTGATAAATGAGTGAGATTAATATGAATATTGAAAGAAATACTATCAGTAGTCCATGGAAGAGTAGGAGAAACATACTCTTTACATGTGTGGCAGCTTAAATTCTCTAACCTTTCTAAAGCTGATTTTTTCAAGTTCCATATGCAATTTTGGATTTTATAGGGAGTATATATTTTTACTCTTTAGTAAGTTATTTCGCAAACATAGCATGTAATGTGCTTCATACCCTTGAAGCATAGCAAATTAATACAACTTGTTTCACCATTTAGTGTAAACATGATCAGATTAAGCTGAGTCATGGGTACCAGGGTATTAATCATATTGTCTTATTTCATCTGCATGTTTACAATATTTCACAAGTTGAAAATGAAAATAATACAAAGAAAAACAATAATTGTATTAGAAATAAATAAGTATGGTAATTGCTATAAAATGCCTATAGTCAAACAAATGTGAATGTCCTTATAATGGTGATGTTTGGTCTGGGATCCTTTCTCTAAGCATAGAAAATGGGGAAAACATTCTAGTATGTATGTGAGATATCTGAGATGGAATGTGTGCAAGGAAGAAAGGCTGAAGGACTGAGTTACGGGGTATAAATTTAATGAACTGTGTATCGCCACTTGAAAGACACGTATACCTAGTACTGAATTTTTAATGTTTACAGATGATGAAAAACAACTGATGAATGTAGAGCCGATCCATGCAGACATTTTGTTGGAAACTTATAAAAGAAAGATTGCTGATGAAGGAAGGCTTTTTCTGGCTGAGTTTCAGGTGTGTGTTGCTTTTGTTACATGATGATAAATTCGACATCAAGACAATTCCACTTTAAATGTATTTATATCACCATTTGCCTTGATAATATATCCTACTTGATATTGCAACACAAGCAAAGCAGATTTTATTAGCAGGTGTCTGTGAACCAGAAGAGAGACTCAAAGAGGTTGACAAGATCGTAGTGTGGAGCTAGTAAATATTTTAATGTAATGCTTCATTGTATCATGAAATTGTGTCACTAAATGTATTTGGTTGGTTTTGTAGTTGTACTCTAAATACTCATCCAAGTATCTGTTTTTAAATGAATTTTAAAGTGACAAAACAATTAATCCTAAATTTGTCCCCACTCAAGAGATTTGTTCTGAAAGTAGTCCATCACTAAATTTTGAGAAAAAGGTGTTTTTTTTTTCTTAATTCCTGATCTTAATTTCAATTACCCTAAGAAAATTTTTTATTAGTATGAAGAAAATATTTTACAGGATATGTCATTTGCTCAAATGATCATTGGTAAAGGGAAAAATATTTTTCCTGAATCTGCTGTGATCCAAGAAATCATTGTTTCTTTCAGAGCATTCCACGGGTATTCAGCAAGTTTCCTATAAAGGAAGCTCGAAAGTCCTTTAACCAGAATAAAAACCGTTATGTTGACATTCTTCCTTGTGAGTATTTATTGAGTATTAAATTCCCATATATTTAGGCCACTTGGTTATTCATGACTTCACTTGTTTATTTATCTTTTCTTTAAACAGATGATTATAACCGTGTTGAACTCTCTGAGATCAATGGAGATGCAGGGTCAAACTACATAAATGCCAGCTATATTGATGTGAGTAAAAGTGTATAACTTCCAAGTTACAGCCCCATCATTTTGTCATTGATAATTTGCATCTTTCTTATGTCTATAGGTTTCATTCTGCTTCTTTTTTGTCTTGGCAAAATTTTGAAAATATTATTAAAAATATTTTGAAGTGAGCCCATAATGTCACTGATATAAATTTAAAAATTACTAATATTTTCAAGAATAGTTATTTATTATATGACCGTTGGTATTAGGTGTAACAGAATTTTCCTCTAGAAACAAAATTATATTAAGAATTTATTTAATATATTCTGATGCCTACTATGTGCTAGCTATTAGACTAACTGATCTGTATGCATGTATTTCTCACAAGAGGCCCACATTTGCTTCAGCCACATGCTATATAGGTGAGGACTGGGAGGGTCAGTTTAGTTAATTACCTTGTCCTTGTTCACCCAATTGGTAAATATTTGAGTTGAAATTCAGCCAGAGTCTCACTGACTCCCAATTGCTATGCTTTAATTTCATAACACTGAATGTGCAGACATTCTTCATCAACACAGATCATCTGTCCACTGGATTTATGCAGAAATGTAAATGTCTGTACATGGTTAATTTATTTAAAATATTTTAAAATTTAATTTATTATACAAATGTTAAATAATTAATGCATTACATAGGTTAAATAATTTTAAACAGTATAAAAATATGTACAGACCAAAAACAAATCGTTTTTCTCACCAACTCTGCCATTTTCCCCGTGTCCTCACCACCTACCAGAAGAAGTAACTATATTTCCTATTCAAATATATATGGTAATTACAGGATCAAGCATACTTACTTTTCTCCAATGGAACTTGGAGCTCCAAGAAAGCATATGTCTTCTGCTTTTAGATAGGTGATTGACATATTGAAGCTGTTCAATAAATACTTATTAAATAAATGAATGTATGCATAATACTGTGTCATGAGATAGAAGTTCAGGAAGTTACTTAATTTAATCTTGAATTCTTGTGACCTGTGTTTCAAATTTAATCCAATGGCAAAGGTCATCCTTTCTGAAGCATTTCTTTCATTGCTGAGGGGACTTTAAGGAGTCTGAGATAATCCTGAAAGAAGCCAGTATAACATTTTATCTTCCTCTTTACTCCTTTATCTTTGTAACAGGAGCAGAGAAAGAAAAATTGTAGGTAATGAAATAAAAGTTGTTATATTTCTTATCTGAAACGGCAAAGAAGTCTAGGGAATCAGCATATTCCAGCAGAAGTTAAGAGGTGGAAATTTGGGTATAATCCAAAAATGATTTGTTGAAAGAAATTGAGTAAAATTTCCAAAGTAACTACATGGCTGGGGAGAAAGTTTAAATAGTGGTAGATGATCCTTTAAGAGTTAATGGCATATAAAATATTGAAATGTCTAGATCACTCTTGTAAATTGCCACAGCATCCCAGATGAAGATGAAGCCTAGTGTTTAAAATTGTTTGAAGTATAGCAAAGGCACATGAAAGTCATGAATATCATTTGCCAATGCTTACATGTTTAGCACAGTTAAATGCCTGACCACCATTAATAAGATCCCTTTAACAATTTGAAGCTGCCCAGAGAAATTCACTATCTAAATGGAAATTTAGATCCATCATATTCACTATCAAATGATGGATCTAAAGCAATTCCTCTAACTCACAATTTTGCATGTTAATGAATAATTTAATGTACAGCAAATGACATATCTTTGCATGTGTTTTCCATAGGGTTTCAAAGAACCCAGGAAATACATTGCTGCACAAGGTAATTTATTTGATAATCCAATATTCTTTTTGAAAAATTATTTTATAGCACTTTTAAGAAAATATTTCTATCAGCTTGTATTTGTTTACCTCCTAGGTCCCAGGGATGAAACTGTTGATGATTTCTGGAGGATGATTTGGGAACAGAAAGCCACAGTTATTGTCATGGTCACTCGATGTGAAGAAGGAAACAGGGTAAGAGCCAAGAAGGTTCATAGTGTGGATCTTGAGGTTAGGAAAATAAAGTGTTGAATGGCATTTTGAAAAGGCACATATATCTGCCTGATGACTGATGGTTCTCTATTTTTTATCAATGCTAACATTTAATTTAAATTTTTCATACATGTAGAAAACTAAAATTTTTAATATGCAAATATATGTCTATATGCATAGAATTTCAATACTTCTGATGACTTGCTAGTCTCTTGCTTGATTCCTGATTCTTTGTAGTACTGTTACATGTTCAGTACATTTCACTGTGTTAGGTTCACAAGAACTTAATACTCGAAACAAAACTGATCTTGAGCAGATAGGTGGTGAGTCATATAATATGACTGTAGGAGAAGTAAAAGGCTTTCTGGCCCCTTACCTAAAATTAACCATAAGCAACAATATCTTTTTCGCTGACAACTAATTATGCCCTCTCTTAACATGCAGCTAAGCCCAGAAAGATCATCCTTCTGCTTAAAAGTATGAAGGAAATTCTTCAGGACATATTAGTGGGAAATAGAATATATCTCAAGCATCACAACTTAAGGTTTATATGTGCTTAAACTATACAAATGTCTTGAGAATTTCAAATGAGTATATGTTGGTTTTCAGTTTTTAAAGAAATTTTGATAAAAATGGACTTAAAAATTGAAACACTTAATTTTTTTTTTTTGTAAATGTAGAACAAGTGTGCAGAATACTGGCCATCAGTAGAAGAGGGCACTCGGGCTTTTGGAGATGTTGTTGTGAAGATCAACCAGTACAAAAGATGTCCAGATTATATCATTCAGAAATTGAGCATTTTAAATGTGAGTTTGCTTTTTTTACATAATTTTTATTTTGATACTGTTTTTATAAAAATAAATTAGGTAGTATCAAATATGAGAAATTAAAATATATCAGGAAAGAGTTATTTTTGATAGCCTTTAGGATAGAAAGCTGTTGTTGGAACAATGACAAAAACCAGTAGGGTCAAATTTAAGTCACTGATCAAGAAGTGTTTGTCCAAGTCAAATCAAAAGTATCTATTATACTGTGACCTTGGAAGTATTAAAAAAAAAGAAAAGGTCAATTAAATGTGTCAAATACATACTAAATTATTAAAAGAATAAGCAAATTGTCCTTTTTGGCAGTGGGTTCCTACTTTCATGAAAAATTATTTATATTATTTTCATAAGAGAAATGACAGAGTTAGAGAGTACTGTGGGAGCACAAAGTTCTAACCATGCAACAGAAAATAGAATGTTTATTTCAGAAAATAAAGAGATCAGTGTGGCCTTAGTTAATAGTTAAAATGGAGGTCATCAAACATATTATATAATTCCATTTATATGAAAAATCCACAGTGGACAAGCCTATAAGACAGAGAGTAGATCAGTGGTTGCCTGGAGCTCAGGAAGTCAATCAACAGAAATGGGGGGTGGCTGCTAATAAACACAGGCTTTAATTTTGTGGTGATACAAATGTTCTATAATTAGGTAGTGGTGATGG